ACTTCCCTGCACGGCCCTTCTTGATGAGCCTGTGCACAATTACTCCGTGTGGGAGATAGCTAGATGCCTTCTCCGTTGGCCAGAAAACACCAGGGCCCAGAGGCCTCATCCGTGTCCCATGGGCTCTTGAATGATAGTCTCTTGGGTCATCTGGTATCATCTGGCCCAGAGCTCTTGCCTTCGTCACGGTACTCAGCAGCGCAATACCCTGCCTGGCCATTAGAGCAATAAAGCACAAGCTGGCTTTTCTTGTGCAAAGCACCTCACCCAGAGTCTTCCCCACAGCACCCCAACTCCAGGAAGTACAGTGGTTCTGCTGAGCGCTTTACATTCTCTTTCTGGTACACAAAGCACTTTGAAACACACTGGAGAGGTGTTTGTCTGCATCAACCCCAACTTCCCTCACCTCAATGCGCTGCAGAAGAATCTCCTCTCTCACTTGTGGTTGGGCCCCCAAAGTGCTGGGGTTCACGGTGCAGTTTTACCACTTCTTGGCTGCCAGGTCCTCATTTTCTATCCATTCCCCAAGGACTGGCTGCTTCTAGTTGGTGCTGGGTCAGTTCTGGACAAACCTCTTGAATATTTGAAAATGCCCTGGCTGGGGCATTTGACGTCTTCATATAATTCCTATATAAAGGTCTTCTTATAATTCTTGGTGACTCCATTTTTCATGCTAGGTCCTAGGAGAAGCAGTGAGAGACCCGAAGGGCCCTTTAGTGTCCCCACTGGGTGGGTGTATTGGGTGTTGGCTACAGAAAATGAGGATGATTATAGACAAATTACGATCAGGGCTGGGTGGCTCAATGCACCATATGTGAAAATGGCCCACTGTCTGGGCCATTCTACTGCTAGGAATGGAAATTAATCTACCCTCATCATAAAGCCCAAAGGAAACGAAAACCTTGCTTCTGGACTGTAACCATGGAAACCTCCCATTGTTGTAGATGGCCTGCCACTGGAACAGAAGCTCATTGGTTTCTTTTGCTCCCCTGAGAGATGGCACCAAGTGTCCTGTCTCCCCTTCTTGCTGCTGTCCCGCATCACTGCAGCAGGTCAAGGCTCAGATGCCCAGGAGGAAAAGCTGCCATGTGGCTCTGTTAGTTCACCTGGTCTGGGGAGGCTTCCAGAGGCGAAGGAGAAAGGGTGGGAATGAAGGTGGGAAGAGGTGGCATCCAACAGTGCTAGTGAGAGATGGCGGGTGGGGCAGGTGTTATTGGGGCTGCTATTAAGGGCATTCATGAGGCAGCATGCATGTCTGGAGTCCCATCTGACTGGCATCAATAAATGTCCCTGTTCCATCCAGTCTGGAGGGGGAGCAGTAATTAGGCATGAAGAGATTTATCAAACAGCAGCCTCTTGGAGCTGTGGGTCTCTCTGCCATCTGGATGGATGGTTTCCTACCCTGGGACAACAGCAGTGGGCGTGATTGATGAGGTCCTACCGCTCCACTCCCCGGGTCAGACAAAACCCAAAAGGTTTTCTTTTGTCCTCTCTTGGAAGCAGTGAGATTCTGCCTGGGTTGATGGGCACACATCAGGGTTCATGCTAAAGTTTGCCCTCGTCCTTTGAAGGTGACTCCCAGATCTGGGATAGTCAGGTCTGTGCTCAGAGTCAGTTTTCAGTTTACAATGATCCAACTACACAGACAAACAGCAAAGCCCTGGAATGAGAAAGAGAAGACATAGGTAGAAACCCCGCTAGTGAGTTTGGAGGCTTAATGCAGGCCCCAATTTTATGGTATACAGTGGGGATAACAATTTCTGCTTTGGCCCAACTCCCACTAGTTTTTGGAAATTCTTGTGACCTTGTAGATGCAAAATGGCTTCAATAATTATAAAGCCCTCTATAGTCATCGAGGATTGAATCCAACAAACATTTATTGAGCAACTGCTGTGTGTTATGCACCACGACTAGTGCTGTGATGGATATGGAGGAATAAAACAGCCCCTGCCCTTGGCGAGCTTACAGTCTAAGAACAGTTATAGGACAAGCGCACAAATAACTATAATACAAGGCAGAATATGGTAAGTGCCATGAGAAAGGTACAAATAAAGTGCTACGGTGGTTCAGCCGAGGGAGAGACCCCAGTGGTCAGTGGATCAGGGAGGGCTTCATGAAAGACATGGTCTCTGCGTGGGCCTTGGAGGAAATTCAAGAATAATCCAGAGGATGAGAACGAGAAGATCAAAGGCACAGAGAGAGGAAACACAGGTGCTCCTTCTGGGACTGGCAACTCTTATAGATTGGCTGGTGCAGGGTGTAAAGAAAGAATGGGACCTTACAGGGTGGACTGTAATGTCAGGTTAAAGACTTTTGTGCATTGCCTTTTGTGTCAGGAGAACTTTGAAAGGCTGGTGGAGAAGCAGGAGAAATGCAGCAGTGTGCATGCTCAGGAGGCCTGGAAGATGTAGAAGCATGCAGAAGAAATGTGGGAGAGGAGCCTGCCACTAAAAGTGGTCCAGGGGACGCGTAAAGAGGTGAATTTGGTGCCAGTGGGAAGAAACAATAGAGAAAGATGTGTAAGAGGAGTAGAAGGTGGCAGCAGGATCTCAGGTCATATGGTTGAGAGGATCACGGGTCTTCCAACAGAATAAAAGAGGCATTTCAGGGGAAGTGGGGACACACGTGGTGCTCTTGGCATCAGAGGTATTCAGTCCATAGTGCTGCCGCCAGAACAGAGAGTGTGTCCAACATGCAGGGCGCCATCTGAGCTGGGGAGAGGACTGGCTGCAGAGAGAGGAGGGTTCCCCTAGGGAGGTGGTGGCTGGATGTAAAGGCAGGAGTGAGCTTGTTGATGGAGGGCGTAGGGATCCCAGGGGAGGACCCTAGGGAGAAGCGTCTACATTGTGGGGCGAAAAGAGAGCGAGAGAATGGGCAGATCTACCTCAGCTGAGATCAAGGCAGACATGGCCATAAATAAAGCATAAATACATAAATAAATATATAAATAAGTGGCCAAAAGGAGCTGGGAAGGAAAGGGAAACCCAGGAAGACACGGCATACGTGAGAAGGGCCAGGGATGCCCAGGAGTAGTCCCCATTATTTCTCAGCGAAAAGGAGCCTTGGGAACTGGTGAGATGGAGGGCGTGCAAGGCTGGTCCCAGGAACAGGCTAGATGTGGAAGGCATGGCGTGGTCAGGAGGAAAGGCAGCAGGATGGACTGGGGACCCTTCCAAGGGTCCTGGGAGTTGAGCAAAGAGGCCATGAGAGCCAGGCTGGGTACAGGGAGCATCTGCTGATCAACAGCATCAGAGGTGGCAGAGGGGCTAAGGGTGTGAGAGCAAATGTACCCGGTCAGAGGAGGAAACTCATTTCCTCAGAAATGGGAGGATGAAGGGGTAGAGGAAGAGGGAGGGGAATGGGAAGGGGAAGGGGAAAGGAAAGGGAAAGGGAAGCGGGGGAAGGAAAGGGGAAGGGAAGCGGAGTGGGGGAAGAAAGGAAAATGACCAAGAAGTTCTGAGGAGAGACGTCATTTCAGACAGGTTCTATTTCTTTAGGGAAGGAGGTTGAAGGTGGGGTTTGTAGGGGGCTTGCGGCAAAAGGAGACAGTCTGAAGGGCATCTGGTGTGTGATGGTGGGCAGACTGGAGATTGCACGGACAGCCTCGGCAGTGAGGGCAGGCTGGGCTGACAGATGCTTGACTGCAGCTATGAGCTGGTGGATCAGAGTGATGGGTATGGGCTTGACTCCCTGGGAACCTGGCTCTAAGGGGGTCTCACTGGGCAGGGAAGGGCAGTTGGCCTCCTGACTGTACCTGCTCAGGTGGAGAAAGAGGAGCCAAGGCCCCAGGGCTCCCGCCACCACAGCGCCAGGGGATGTGGCAGCGTGAGACTCACTAAGTTAGGGAACGGGCAGGTGTGGGTGTCCCAGACTTCCCGCTTTCTGGAGGGAACCAGGAGGCACTTTGTAATCTGCCAGAGAGCAAATTCTCTACAGTACCGGTCTTTAACTTTCCTGAAGGGACAGGATGCTGCCTGGCAGACGGAGCTCAGGCCCAACTCCAAGCCCTGACCTCAGGGCTTGCCTCAGACCTCACCACAGAACATTCTGGAATCCAAAGTCTTAGCTAATCCACCAAGGTCTTGCTGATAATTCTATGTCCTCCCCAGGGTGCTGCAAGCTTTAGAAATAAAGTGTCATCTAGGACCTTTCAGATCTTCCAGGGGAAAGACTCAGGAGACAAATAAAATATGATACTAATTATTTCCATGTTCAGGAGGAGCCTGGACCACTTAGTTCCCACTGAAGCTATTAGGGCTGTTGCTCTTTTAAAAATTCATTCTATAATGCAAATCCCAAATCTCACGTTTCAAGCTACGACAAGACAAAGGGGAAAATGCAGGGATGTACTGTTGCCATTCTGGTCTTGGGCTAGGGCATTCGTGTGTGTGGTGAATGGTTCTGGGTGTCCTTGCACTGGCTCCTCTTACTTCCCATCAGATGTTAATTTAGAGCCAACATTCTGTTCTGAATTGCCATTGATTAATTATGTCCAGTCCCATACACTCAGGAGCAGATCTTGATTACTTTTCTTAACTCTCTTCACCTTCAAGAGAATGGTTTTTTACTTATCTTTCAAATATGTTTTAAAACACTGTTAGTTATCAGGCGAGGGAATACATCTAACAGATAGAGCTGGCTAATGCTTCTCTCTTTGCGACCTATGATTCCAGCCCCTAAGGTACTGGCATTGAGCCCAGATTTTTCCCAGGAGATTACATCCGGTGTTTGGAACTGTGTTTGGCTTTTTATTTCTGCTATAGTCTTAAATGTGAACCTTAACAGGGGAAGAAAAGGACTTTGCAAAATTCGACATTCATCGCTTCTTTGGAGAGGCGGTAGTGGGGGAATATGCGGCGGGCACTGGACCTCTGTGAGGGAGACTGTGACCATCAGGATGGAAAAGTGACAATAAAGTGACACTGACACAGCAGTCTAGCTGCAGGGACCCTGCCATGTGCAGGACACAGAAAGCAAACAAAGAGAGTAGCTGCCAGAGCTGGAGCTAGGTGCTTCTCCTTCTTTTGGGCCTCACATTCCGGGGCTCTGGTGTGGGAACACCCAGAAAGGCAATCATGTATATTTTAAAGAGAATGACATTTATCTCAACAATGTCCTTTGAAGCTTTTGTTGTGTCTTCCCTGGTGGCAGAGGGAACAGCAGAGTCCTTCATCGACATTCTCAGTGGGCAGGATGGAGGATAACCCACAGCCTTGGCCGGCCTCAGTTACTTAAAGAGCGGGGGCACATGGCCACATTTTGGACACTCTTCTGCCTCATCCTGGGGTGAGCAAACCCATAGAAGGAGGTCTCCGTTGCTCAAAGCTGTGATCTAGAACACTTTGCCTCTTTAGGGTTATTCGCCTGCCAAGGTTCTTGGTGGTTCTCGTTTAGCCAGGATACGGATTACCCATTGTTTCTCTTCTAGCCTTCTCTCCACGTCGTGCAGTCGTGTCTGGGGCTTGTGTTACCCGTGACTCAGGCAATCAAACTCTAAGTTCATGGAACAAGGCCCTCAGCTCTGCTGTGGCCTCGGTTCTTTAGCTTCTTTGTGCTCCTTTACCCAACTAAACTCTCCAGCCTCAAATAGCACCTGTGCAGACCCCATCAAGTGTCCTCTCTGGGTCTTGGCCATCTGGAGTCCACACATCCCAGGGGTTTGGGCAGCTGACCACAGGTAGCTCTGCATTCATCCATGAGCTCAAGGATTCCTCCAACCCAGGAGGCTGGTGGTCGTGCAAAGCCGTGGGACTGGCTTCTTTGCCCGTCAAGTCTTTCTGCCCTAAAGATGAACTGAGTCTCAGTCTGGTTCAGGTGGGTTCTCCACGCCTTCTTCTTGTGGCTTATCTGCCTAACGCTAGATGAACACCACACAGTTATAAATACTCAGGTCAATATATATATGCAGGTATAGATATATATATTCTGGTCACTGTTTTACACTTTAACAAAGAAAACCACTAGCCTGCTTGTTCTATTGTTTGTGCCACCCCGACTCCCATCTGCCTGTGTTGTAGCTGGCAGGAAATGTGAGCCTCCGAGTCCCACAAGGAGCCCACCTTACGTGGCCCCGTCACACTGGCCGACAGTCAGTTTCAATGCCCCCTGCTCATGTAGGCTCTTGAGGGCTTTGAACTCCAAGGGCATGGTGTGGGGGCTGGCTTGGGAAGTATAGCCATACTTTAGGCTGTCATAGTAGTGGTACTTGACAGGGTTCTGGTTCTGATCCAGTGGAAAGGGCCAGAAGCCATAGAGGTAGATCTGATTGCAGAATCGAGTGGCCAGTGTGTACATCAGGAGGCCAGTGGTTGGTCTTTTGATGTGGACTTTGTTGGTCAGCCAGTATCTGGAAAACAAAAAAAGTGAAAAGAGAGACAAAGAAGTAATGTGAGTGTGTGAATCATCTTTTCCAGAAATAGGGGAAATTTTATTCTGCCCACAGCATCCTACCTCCTGCACTACAGAGACCAACCAAGTTATGAGTCCTGATTCCCTCCTCAGAGGACTGACACCCACCACATTTTCAGTTAAGCAACTGAACATCTCCTGGGCTTGATTTTGTGAAATCACAGAAGCAGCCTGTCCTTAGCATAGGTACAAAAATGGGGCCCAGAGATGAAAAGTGGCTGCCTGAGGTCACCCAGGTAGAAAGGAGCAGCGCACTGGCTTGAACTCGGGCCTGTGGACAGCAAAAACCAGGGCCGGCAGACTTCATCCGCAAAGGGCCAGATGACTGGTACTTTTGGCTTTGCAGTTGCACATTCCAGTAGCAACTACCTGAGCACTGTGTATCTACAGCATAAAAGAACCACTGACAGGTACACATGGGTGTAGTTGTACTTGGTCTTGACCTCTGATAAAACATTTTCTGGCATGGTGCTGGCCACCCGTAGACAGCCCCCTACCCTTCCTGTTTTGCATTGCTATTCCTGCCTACCTTGCCTCTTGGGCATCCTGGGGGGAGGGCTCACTTCCTGTTCCCACCCACAGGTGCCACTCTCTGACCTCGTGCGACTTCCCCAGAGAGGTGATGGGCTCTGGACAGTGGTCTGCCCTGTGAGGCTGGGCTCTGCCTACACATTTTCTTCCAAAGGCCCATCACTCCTGCTTGTATTCCCACCTCTGGGAGGGAGTCCTTGCGTCCTGTCTCCTGGAACCTGTCAAAAGGTCACCGGAGGAAGTCTGGAGGAGTGAGGGGAGCAGGGTGTCAGCTGAGAGTTCTGTGTGCAGAGAGGATCTCTGGGTATCGTAGCCCAGAATTCGGTGAGGAAGGGACGCTATCCATTGCACGGGTGAGGAAACAGGCTGGGAGGAGGGAGGTATGCAACACAGGGAGTTCTGTCACCAACAATCTAAGTGTCTTTGAGCAAGTCACTCCTCCATGTTGGACCCAATTTTTCATACTTGTGGAGTGATGGAGCACAGCCCAGGTGACCTCCAAGATATCTTCCGGGTTTCAGTCATCCAAAAGAATCTAGAAATGTCTCCAGAAGTGAAAAAATGCCCATTCTGTGTGCTCCCATTCTTGCTTTCTAGTGCAGGGATTTAGAGCTCACTACCTGTGGCATATAACCTGGCTTCTATTTCTAGTAAAAGCTACCACTCACTCTGGGGCAGTGAGAGCAAAACTTTTAGAGACCAGGTGCCCAAACCACAACCAAACCACAATCCCACTTATTTACCACAAAGTGCCAACACTGCAATTAAACCTGAATATTGATGCTCAGCTGCTGGGGTGACTTGGCTTATGTGCCAACAGAGAGGACTCTGCATGCCTGCTTTGGCATCTGTGCCATACGTTCGCCACCACTGCTCTAGGCTGAATCCCTTCAAAAGCAGTGCTTACAGCCTGGTAAAAAGACATAATTCACGGATTCTGACCATTGTGTTTTCAGACTAGATGTGGCCCATATTTTTCTGGCCTCAATCTCTGTTGCATTCTATCTTACAGGTTCCCATTTACCACTGTAAGAAACAACCGCTCTCCAACTGAAGTGGAGGCCAGTGTGGCTTCTGATGACAGGGATGTGTGTGACTTTATAATCAAACACATCAATTCAGTTCATGCCAGAAAGTGTGTCGGACAAAAATATATACATTTTGCTGAGATAGGAAGCTGTTTGGCACTGTTCACAGTACTTTTAGCTAAAGGGTTGAGGTGGAGAGGGGTAGGTTGTCTAGGAGCCTGCCCTAGTACATCCTTCTTTTTGCAAAAAGATTCCTTCTATGCTCAAAAAGGGAACCCTCAAAACAATGATAAGTCAACCTTAAAGCTTTTCTTTTTCACTTGTTTGGAGGAAGCATTAGTCCTTGAATCAGATGAGGTTTGAGATTCCTAATAATCCATATAATTTCAGTGAATTATATAATATTTGATCAAGTAGAATGCTCTGGGACGATCCTCACCCTCACCCCTCCAAATTGATTATCAGTCCTGTGTGATTTAAATCTCCCTTCCGCACTGCTGACGGAAGCTGTGGTCCCTGAGGCCAGAACCTGCACGAACCTGATTCTCCTGGGCACAGTGGGAGCCTCTTGGGTGGCCCCTTAGACAGTGGTACCCTGGTAAGCCTGTCGCTTGGAGACTTACTTCCTCAGACTTCTTCTATTTCATCCTGTTGGGCCGAGAAGTTTCCTCAGCCTCAGAATTTCCCAACAGGGAATCAGATGGAGGGACAAAGGCAGAGAAGAGGACAATGGTTCTTGTAAACCACAAGCACAATGCAACTGAAAAATGATAGGAGCAAGTGGATGCACAGCAGACTTCATTACTTCTTCCCTGCCCCGTTGAGAGGTCTCTATGGTGACAACCCTAAGCTGCCACTCACCCTCCACTTCGCAGCTCTCTGGGCATTTCTTACAGAAACCTCTCCCTGCTGCAGGTGCAATCCAGTTCCACAGTATAAAACACAAACTCTGTAAGATCTGGTCCCACAACCCTATCCCGCAGTGTACCTGTCTCTCCAAGAGGAAAGGCTGCAGCCCCCCAGGTGCTGTGCTGCTCACAGCACCTTCTCCTACTGAGCTCTGCACCAACACCACCTCTGCTCTTCTGCCCTGGTGTCTGGGCCCCTGTGGTCACCTGGGTACCAGTGTCTTCCCAGGGTTGTGGCCTCCTGGAGATGCAGTGTGCATGCCTCTCGTGCAGTCTGTGGGCTCCCGGAAGGTCGTATGTCATGCTCTCTGTGCTAAGGGGCCCATGAGTGCTGAAAAAGTGAGTGAGCATTTGGAGGGAGAAGGAATGCTTCCAGAAGAAGTACGTATGCTTAGTTTTCTCCCTCTTGTACTCATGGTCCCACAGACCCACAGCCAAGTTTCCACGGCTGAGGCATGGGAAGAGGGGTGGGATGCTTCTTGTCTCGAAAAAAGTGTTCTGGGACTGCACAAGGCAGCCTTTGATGTGTGGCACGGATGTGCAGGTTGGGTCTGGGCTGCTGCTCTGCTAATGTCCCTCAATGGCCCAAGGTTCCTGCTTCTTGGCCCCTGGGGCCCTGGGGAATAGAAGAACCCAGAAACAGCATACCTGTTTTCCTGCAGTATGGGCTCTGCTCCCTGGGATGCTGACAGGGCTGGCCCTGAGGTCTATTCTGCAGCCCCCTGCCCCTCTCCTCTAAGGGAGGTTTCTCCTGGGCCCCCCTATCCAAGGAGAGAAAGGGGCCAGGCTGACTTCACACAGAACCACACAGGGTGTGTCCAGGGCAGCTGGGTGCTGGGTGGATGGGGCCATGAAGGTTAGCTGGACCAGCTTCCGGTGAGGGAGCGCTGCTGGGACTTTGATGCAAGAAGTACTGGTGAGAGCTACCTGAGTGTTTTCCAGTGGCTGAACTGTGATCTCCCGCAAGGCAACTGTGCTCTCAGCTCAAAGCATGCTTTAAGGGCCTGGTCTGAGAGGCCCATTCATACCTCTTTCTTCCTCTCACACCTCCTGGCTATATCCCTCCCTCCTGTCACCCACTGAGGTCTGGCCCTGCTCTCAGTAGCCATCCCTCAGCATCCTGTCCTCGCCCAGGCCTTTGCAGGTTGTGCACCTCACAAACTGAGGCCCCTGCTGACAAGGGCTAGAACTGGGGTTCCCCTTCAGGTCCTCTGATTGCAAATGCATTTTTTTTCTTTTGTGGTGTAGCCCTGATAGATATGGGGAAGTTGGGAATGTGGCTGGCCTAGTGTGATTGTGCGGGGACTATCCCACATGGCCATCTGCTTAGTCACCCTGCAGAAGGCATGGCTCTGGCTTGAGACATGCTTGATGCAGAGATTGGAGCTTGCAGGGTAAGGATGCACTCCTTAGGCCACCTCAGCACCTCTAGGTTCAAAGGGCTTAGCCTGGAAGAACCCCAGGGGCAAAGGCAGGGGCATGGTAATGAGGAGAAGAATCCCAGAAAAGCAGCAGCTGATGTTCTGGTCCTCTCACTCACCCTGGCAAAGTGCTCACACACACCTTGGCTTTCACACACCCAGTAACAGGGAGCTCACCCTCCGCCATGCTAGTCCATTGCATTTCCAGCTCAGATGCAAAGGTTCTCAGCTTAGACTGCAGGCTGATCTACCTGCAGCCTTAGGAGATGCCTGGGTCCCACTGCCAGGTGCAACCTGGACCTAGGGACTTTGACAATCCCTTTCAGTAACTCAAATGTGTAGTCACAGCTAAGAATTCCTATTTGGTTTGGTAGGTAGTTCTGCCCGAAGAAGCCAAGGAGGAGCTATATTAAGAGAGGGGGAAAGAGGAAGTGTAAGAAGAACTGTAGGGTTTTAAAGACAGTCGGGCCTGGAGAGCTCATCTAGGCTGGTGGCCTGGCAGGGGCTATAACTGAGTGGGCTGGAGCTGGGGTGAGTGTAAGGAAAACTCAGACCTGGCTTCACTGTGGCCAGGGCAGTAGGGAGTGGGGGGACCTGGCATCTCCATGGACAGCCAGTTTTATTGTTTATTGTCCAGTACAGTGGTCCCAGCTCTGATTTTTAGAAGAGCCTTAGAAACAGAATTTTTATGTAAATTTTCCAAAATTTCAAATGTTGGGAATTAATTAAAACTTTGAGGGGTTTGGAGATGTAGCTCAGTGTAGTACACAGTGCTCAGTACGCACAAGACCCTGAGTTCCACCTCCAGCATTACCAACATTTTTTTTTTCTCTTAAATACACCATGTGAGATGTTACTGGGTGGAACCCACAGGCCATGTCTGTGGTTAACCCAGGGCCTCAGCACTGAGCTTGTTTTCCTCTTTCAGTTTCCAGAGGAAAACGTGGGAGGCTAGGGTCATCAGACGGGGAAGCAGCAAGCTTCTCACGCCCCTCCCCTCGTTACACAGAGCTCGTTACACAGAGCTCGGATAAAGCGTGGGCTCCCCAA